TGCTATTACAATCATTTCTACCTTGAAATTTGAATAGGATTGTCCTATAAAACAGTCTGGAGTGGGTGGAGTGTTCTTGTGGGAAAGTGTAACGATTGGTTCCTTAGGCTTTTTTTTAAATGAATCTGCTCTTATATTTCACACTTAGTTTTCCAATTTACTGGCAGAGTTGTTGCAATTAGACTATTCATGCCATAATTAGGAAATTTCATGTATAATGTTACTAATGTTTTGGGGGACCCGTCTCTTGAGCTTTATAGCTCTGTTTCGTCTTAGTTCACTTGTTCCCAGAGGGCTCTCTTCGGTCTTTGTTTTCTGTGGATTTTTCGCCAGCTCCCTTTTCTTCAGTCTACCCCTCATTCATCTTTGAAAACAGAAATGTTTAGAGTTACTGCAATTCAGTTTGATTTCTTGAGACACTACTTTTTGATAAGCATTTTTTTTTTATCATTTCTAAGTCTATGCCCAGTTTGTTTAACTTCCAGTTAGCATCCTGAGTTTAATTAACGTATTGTCAAGAATACAGATGAGCCCCAGATTTTGTTCCTGTTTTTAAATAGTGACCAACTTTAGTTAGGGTTTTGTGATGTATAATTGAGTGTAGTTAGTACTTCTGTTTGTAGTTTAAGCTGATGTCATGTGATTATTCAGATTCATATCCTTACTACTGTAGGATCTGTTCCTGATGTGTTTGTGTTGTAGACTGGTGAATTTCCGGATGGTGTCCATCTCTTCCTGTTTGGTTTGTCGTCTTAGCATTGACATTGCTGCCTTGTTTCCATTGCATCCTGTCAAGGACGCGGATGTACACCAAGAATCCCTGGGAAATGATGCGGCAGGTAAGAGCCCTCTGCAGAGACTGGGGTTCCTGAAGTTTAGCTGTGTGTGCTCAGGATTCAGCTACAGAGAGTTGGCCCAGTCTCGCGGCACATGGCCTCCCTACTCTTACTGTTCCAAGTCTTTGTCTCTGACCCAGGCCTCTCATGTCTTCTGCCAACCGCCAGGAAACTGTGCCCAGTGACATGAGTGAGTGAGAAAGAATACTTTGTTTCAGAAGCACAGATGGTAGATTGTGTCATCGTCAAGTATTTGTGGGTGTAAGCACCCAGTGCCAGAAGGGGGACCATGGACAAGCATAGGTGGGGGGTGGTCACTGTGGAACGTCGCCCATGCAACATTAGAGCCAGTGAGGAAAGGCGTTTGGAAATCATGGAATCAGAAGGCAAATGGCATTGCTTTTGTACTACACGGTCTGTGTTATGTGGGCTTCCCTTTAACAGTGAGGTTAACCCGCAGATGGAAAATTGCCGACACTTTGTCATTGGAACATTTCCTAACTTACCTCAGTTGTTGTTGTTGTTGTTATTATGCTCCGTGGAGTTGGTTCCGAATCATAGTGACCCTGTACATGGTTTCCGAGGCTGCAAATCTTTACAGGAACAGAAAGCCTCATCTTTCTCCCGCGGGACAGCTGGTAGTTTCGAACTGCTGACCTTGCAGCCCGATTCGTAACCACTACGCTACCAGAGCTCCTTAACTTACCTCAGTACAGGTGTGGAAAACAATCCAGTAAAGTACAAGATTGCTTTTGAAAGGTTGGTGGGAAAATGGAATTTTTTTCAAGAACTTTTTTAAGCTCACTTATACCATGTAGAGAAGGAGCTCCGGTAGCGTAGTGGTTACAAATTGGGCTGCGAGCCTTAAGGTCTGTAGTTAGAAACTACCAGCTGCCCCACGGGAGAAAGATGAGGCTTTCTGCTCCCATAAAGATTTACAGCCTCAGAAACCCTCTCCAGGGTCGCTATGGGTCAGAACCGACTCGACGACACATAACAACAACATACCATGTAGAGAGAGGAAAACAGACGAAGGATTGTGAGGAGGCTGATAAGAGACTGGAAATAGAAATGGAATGCCCAAGTATGAATTCAGGATTTTAGGAGCATGCCTTCAATGTAGGCACCTCAGTTTATTAAGGGGGTTTAAGCCCTCCCTTCGTGTTGGCATCCTTTGAATTGTAGATTAGCCAAAGGAAAAGCCAAGCAGATGCAGACTGGACACTGAACAACTGAGTAACTGTCATCCACAATGCGGGGTGTTGCCATTCTGTGAAGGGTGCCCGCAACGGGCTCAGCTTGATTTTACAAGTCCTGGGAAAGATAAGGGTACAGAGTTTTCCTTCAATAAAGTGGTAAAAAGGAATTTAAGAGTGCTGAAGACAAAGATGCAGAATAAAATATTTGCAGAATAAAATATTTGTATAAAATAACAATTTTATTTCTATAAAAGTTTACACTAACTGTACACATGCGCACACACACACAGTACTTAACCACACATGAAGTGATTCATTTTCTTTTAATCTAATACGTACCATTATATTACACTTTACAATATGTTTTTTGAAGACACAATGGGGAAAGCTTGGATCATTCATTTATAAACCTTCCATAAATTACAAAAGAAAGGCAGTCTGAAAATATGTATAAAGAGTAAAAACAATTTACAAGTGGACAAGAATTACAAAATACTAACCACCAAATACATCTGCCACCGATTGTGTACGTCTTTTGTTGAAATGCCAGTGAGGAGGGCTGGAAGGATTGTGAGTGTTTGGGGTGTGGCTGAGACATAATGTGGATTCAGATGTGTGTGTCTATGCTGACTAACTGTGGATGGTATTTTCACAGAGGGAAAGGAACAGACATCTCTATACCCCAGACTGTGACAGGGAAAGCAGTGCAGGGATCAGCGCTGTGGCAGGTTGGAAGACTGGTACCTGACCGGACAGGGTCATTCCTCTTAAGAATGAAGGTAAACACTGTCCTGCATGTGGCCTTTAACATGTGCAGCGTGATTATCAGATCCCTGTCAGTGAAGGGGGTGGGGAACCACTGAACATACAACACATACCAAGCGGACACCGCAGTGTTTATTAGACAGTACAAATCATTGTGCATTTATAAGGCAGGACATCCAGGATTGAACTAGGAATGTCAAGACCAGAGTACAGTGCAAGTTAGGCATTGTAGAGAAGGGAGAGACCATTCCTTTAAGGGCAGGTGACAAATGAACAAAGACAGAGTGACAAGTAGGGAGTGAGCTACAAAGAGCCATCCATCCACCCCGGTGGAGAGTAGTAAGACCCCACACCCTCCACCACAGTGGCTGAGGAGGAAGGAGCCTCCCGCTCCTCCTCGCTCTTGGAGTTGGTTTAAAGTGGATGGTAGGTGGGTGTGCAAAAGCGCATTTCTCTACTGGTGGTGGGGGAGAAGACTGTTTTTAGGAAGGACTTGAGTCATGAAAGCCCTAGTTTGGAATTAAAGAAAATCACATCGATTGGGGAGTTGTCCAGAGCACATGAATCATTTCACTGCACCCAGCTTTTTCAGCAGTTTCTTGCCTTTGGAAAGCAGCCCCTTTTTCTTTTTCGAGGGCATTTCCCTGCCTCTCCCAGGACTACCAGAACCCATAGATGACGTAGGTGACCCCGAATGGAGATGGGCTGTGGGGGATGGAGCGCTCCTTGCTGTACCTGACCCCTCAGGAGGAACCTAGTAGGTACAGTGTGACAGTTTATTGAGTGTGCGCACACCAACATCAATACGCTCGGTAACATTGCACTCTCCCAGCTCCCACCAGTAAAGATAAGGGGGGGGGGGGGGGGGGGTTCGTTTCTTCTTTCAAGTTTTAAAGTATGCCATGAGGAGCAAACCTCCCACCCAGACACAGCTCAAGAGGGAGGGTTTAGCATAAAAGGATTTTTTTTTTTTTTCAGGGGAGTGGGAGGCGGGGGCACTGCTTTGGCAAAAACCAGCCTAGGTATTAATTTACTTAGTAAACGAAGACTAAAAGTCGAGAAAAAAATACATATTCCAAATCAGGTTGGTAGTAAAGTTGGCCGAGTACCCTTCATTATTATTAAAAGCAAAATGTTCTTTGTAGGAATTTTGTTGTATTTGAGAATTTTACTTGGTTATCTAAAATCCTGATATGGTTGAATGCATTCCTGGATAAGTTAGTTCACTATAGAAAAATTACTGGAAATGGCACACTGGTTGAAAGAAAAAAAAAACTACAGTGAACCTTAATTGCAATCAAAGAAAGCTTAAAAGCCCTTAGTTGCTTGTTGTATGCCCAATTATTTTCCTCAGTACTCCACTGCATTACGTAACGGGCAGAGGGACCTGTAGGTATAGCCCCTCACTTCCTCTTGTGCCCTCACGACGTCAGAGTGCTCATTAATCAGCAGGCAAAAATAACAGCAGCCCAAGGGCTTCCAGCTTGCTTGGATTTATAATCAAGGTCTGAGTCTAATGGAAAACACCTAGTCAAGCATCCCAAAGTACACCTGAAGATACCATCTATTCCGTCTACTGCCAACATTTGAGCTGCATGTTTCACATAAAACTTGGTATTGCATTGGTACACCAGCAAGCCAGTCTTCACCATTGGTGCTGGGTGTCCAGGGTGGCTCACACCAGCGTCCGGAGGCCACTCGAGACCACCTGTTCTATTCACACTACTCATCTGCTTGATCTTAAAAGGTTTTGTCCCCCATACTCCCATTTAAGATAAAATTTCCTATAGTAAACATACTTGTCAGGGTTGTGCTTTTTCCAAGAGTGGCTAGCAATGCAATATGCAGCTTTAATTATGAGTAGACATTGGAACACTTCTTTATGTAAACAAACAATTAGCTTGTTAAGAAATATGTTCCCAATGTTGTCCTTTGTAATTTTCTTCATAGTAGGAAATGTTTAGTCAAAATGATTAGTTTCACTACAAATCCAGTTGCTTTACAACTGAGACCAGGCAAATACGCTAATGTTTTTATAGGTCCAATGATTTTTTTTGAGACATATTTCTTTGTTGTGTTTTTGTTTTGGAAGCCCCCCGTGAAGCCTTAAGTCTAGCGCACTGGCCCAGGTAAGGCAGCCTAAGGGGTATCTTTATAGGTGTCTTCAGTTGCTCACTTACGTGAAGGCTACAGTGCCTGATTAAGGTGTGAAATGAACACTCTTCTTCTGTTTCCAAGCAGATGAGCAAAGAAATAAAAATATAAATATAAAAATGTAACATAGAAAAAACTCGCTGGGATGAGACCCTACACATGAAGGCAGTCTGCGGGGTCGCTATGGGAGGCTGGAAGTTCCTTTGTGAGGAGACCACTTGAAAGGGTCATTTTGGTGGAAATCAGTAAACTTAAGATAAAGAATTTTCAATTTTGTTTTTTAGGCACAATCCCTAACAGAAGGGCAGAGAAAAAATCAGGGTATATGTTTCGGCCCAAGGTATAGAGACACAGATGCCAAGGTAAGTTGACCATTTGTGACAGGGTGTGACTGAAGTTAAAAAGGTCGAGAACATTTGCTTACCCTTTTTGCCTTTGATGAACGCATCTGCGTATCTTGAGAGTGGTGAGACGGCACGTCGGAAAGATAGACTTCGACATCATCAGGCACTTCTTCCAGGAAGTTTGAAGGGACCAGACCCTTGTGCCCATTTAGCGCCCCCTAAAGTTACAAGGAAGAGAGAGACCCAGGCCCCGTTGGTGTCATCAGTTCACAAGTGCTGGAGCTCTAGTTGGCTCAACGTACACTGTACAGCCCCTTGCCCTCTGGATACATCTGGGTTGGGGGTCAGCAGTCCCCACTTCTTAGAAGCACTGTAATTGACGGAACCTCGTTCTCCCTGAGGAGTTCTTACAAGGTCTCTTTCCAGACAACAGTGGCTCCCCCACCTCACCCTGTTTGTCTTCTGTTCCCCAAGGAGGATGGAAACAGAGTCAAAGGGACCAGCAGGGATTAACCTCTCTCCTAGGTGGTTTTTGGCTGCCTTCAGGATGAGGGGAGACTCTTGCTGCCATCTGTGTGTGTGTGTGGGAGGGGTGTTGCTAATTTCCTGTTTTCTTGTGAAAAATTACTCTGTGTAACCTACATAATAAATGTAGAAATTGTTAAAGTATATAGATGGCAGTGTAAGAAGAGGAATAAATCTGTTTATAGCTTTACATACTCTAGGGGGCTTCAGAAAGTTCATGGAAAAATTCCAGAAGCTTTTTGAAGCCCCCTTGTAGACTTCAATTTTCCGAGACGGATGCATGAATAATGGTAGTACCTGCTTTCCGTACTACATGTCACCAAGAAAAGGGAGATGGTTAGGCAAATTTATCAACAAGCCATAAAAAGTTTACACCAAAAGAACAGATAAGAAAAAAAGATACATCAAGAAATACCATTCCATACTTTTATGAAAAACTTACATAATAAAATCCATCTTCATCGATTTCACCGAAAACTGTAATAATATCTCCTGTACAGAATGTGAGTTCAGCCTATAGAAAGAAATGGAACACAGTGATGATATATCTGACTTTTCTTATCTGACTTTTCTTACTATTGGAAAATTTTTCAGTTAAGAAACAAAACCCCCTGAAGACAGGAGCTCGTTTGTACAGATCTGTACAGATCGTTAACCTTGAAAACCCCAGTGCCTCCTACAATCCTGGTGTGCTGCTATGGGTTAATGCGCTGGATGGAATGCAAGGTCGGTGTGGTTCAAGCTCACCAGCTGCTCCTTGAAAACTCTAGTGGGCCATTGTGAGTCGGAACCGACTCGACAACACTTAACAAGTGTCTTCCTAACAAGTGTCTCCTGTGTATCAGGTGGGGTCCTGGTATGTCACTCTACTCAAATGATTCAGGCACTGGCCAAGAGACGAGGACTACAGTGCTGAGAGCCTTGAGAAGGGACTTGTCCCCATACCTGTGAAGACCACCGTTCCCTAGAACATGGAACACAGAAGAAATCTAGTAGTAGGAAAGACACACAAAGGAGCATGTTTAGTTCTAAACATGACAGTGATGGCTTTAGACTTCATAGATAAGTCATGAGACATCATAGACAAGTCAGCTTTTCATTGGAAGCATGTGCTGGGTAACTGGAACCCATAATCTTTCTGAGCTCCCTCCATGTAGTAAATAAAGACACCCTAGTCTTCGATTTCTTGAAAGCACATAGTTTTCTTTTGTCATAATACCACAGACACTATGCTGTCCCAGGCTGTGTGAACAAGGAAAATCCATCCTTTCCTCAAGATGTGAGGTCCTGACTGCTTTTGTTCACTGAACATCTGCACTGGGCCTTTCTAAGTCTCCTAAGGAGGGCCCTAATGTACCCTCTCTTGAGCCTGTGTCCCACACTGTCCTCAGGTGGTATGGGGCCAGTCTGGGCCTCAGGACGAGGATCTGTCCTCTTCACATTGGCCTTCCTCCATTCTGGTAAACAGGCAGCTGCTTTGCTGTGGCTGGCTCACAGCAAAGGGGGAGAAAGAAGGCGACAGCCAAGTGGTTTGAGGGTCCAGTTGTGAGCAGCTCTGTCTGCCAAGGTGTAGGGCATGGTATGATGTCAAGAGGGAAAAGCTAGCTGTCCAGTACCTCAACATCAACGTTAGGCGAGCTTTCCCTTGGATCATAATCGTACAGAGCCACCATTCTTCGTGTAGGTGCCGAGTGCTGTCTGCCGCTCCTTCTATTTCTCTCTGTTTCAATTTACAAGGGGAAAAGAAAGTTGCTATCAATTGACTTGTCCTATGATGACCTCCCTGCCTTCATCCTCCATGGTGGTCACAGCTTAGGTTTCACCCTGCCCCCAAATTCATTTCTCTTGCCTGTCCTTTTATGGTAAGAAAGTGGTCTGTAAGTAGCCCCTTATTAAACCTGGAAAGGCTGTATGTAGTCTGCCCTCTGCTTGGTTCTGGCATGATTTACATTTCTTTCTATGACGCCATGGACTTAGCTTCCACTGATTTCTGATCTTTGTTTTTCTAACAATTTTAAAAACAGTTATAATGGAGAGAAGAACTTGGAGTCATCGAATGCCATTACACTTGTTAGGGTTTGTGTTTTGGCCTCAGATATGGTTGACATTGGTGACTATTTCAAGTGGAGTACAGTGCACGGCCACGTAGGCTCCAGGCCGACTCTAATGAGGGATGTGAACGTCAGTTAATGCTGCATGCATTTTGAATCTGTTATTTGATACATAAACATTTAGGACTCTGTCTTACTGAACTGGCCCTTTATGTCAAGGTGTAATCTTCCTTTTTGTCCTTGAAAATATTTCTGTCTCTAAAGTCTATTTAGTTATATTTAATACAACAACCAGGTTTTCTTTGAATGTTTGCATTGGTCTTTTTTTTCCCTATGCTTTTAACTTTCAAAATTTGCCTTCATATTATATTTTAGGTAGATGGCATGTTTTCCTTGCTAAGTGCTTGTCAAGTTGGTTCCGACTCATAGCGATCCTGTATAGGGTTGCTGAGGAGCAGTTGGTGAGTTTCAGTTACCAACCTTGCATTTCAAACTAACCTTGAGATCTGAGGTTTTCCTAGGCTCTCATACCAGGCATACAGTTTTTGTTGTTTTGTTTTAAGTGGTTGGTTGTTTAAATCACATAATTATATAGATGGCTGAATTAAGGTACAACTTATTTGTACATGTTTTTATCTGCTTGTTGCATTATTATTTGCTTTATTGGCCAGCTTATGGACCAAGTACTTTAAAGATTTTTTAATTACCACAGTTAGGTTCTTGGACCGTAAACCACAAAGTCAGAAGCTCAAACCCACCAGCCACTCCATGAGAGAAAAGAGAGAAAGGTGAGGCTTTCTGTTGCTGTAAAGATTTACAGCCTCGGAAACCCTGTACAGGGTTGCTATGAGTCGGAATTGACTTTAACGGCACACAATCACCACCACCATTAAGTTCTTATTTACACCTTTTTAATATACTTGTTAGTTGTTGGCATAGGGTTTAAAATGCCTTTCAATAATCACAAACACCTTCAAATACTATCAAAGCCCTTCATGTGTAGAGTAAGAACCTTAGTACTACAGTACTACACTCCCACCTGTTTTGTGAATGCCACACGTTTTTCCTGTGCAAGAAACATACACATATGCTATACACCTACAGTTCATTGCTATTATTATGTTTTTACCACCTACATACTTTTTATGGGTGTGGTTTTGAAGGATAAGCACTGGACCTTTTAACTACAGGGTCTCCTGACAGCACACCACACACTTTTTGTACATCTGATCACTCCTGGAGGAGTGGTCCCCAGGCAGCAGTGTAGCCTGCCAATTTGGGGCGGTATCCCCTGAGCACTGAGACCACAGCTGGGGAGGCAGGGGTGGAAATGGCAGCATCAGGAGCTGACTTCACACCCTTCCCAACACATTTGCTAACACTAAGGTATGGAGATAGCCAGGCAGCCCTGGGTGGCATGGAATCGGACACACACAGAGCAAACCAAGAGGGCTGGAGGAGTAACTAAAACCAAGCAGAAAAGCCTGACCATATACTTCCAAAAGAAACAGCTTATAAACCCCCTGGAGGGCAGTGCCACTCTACACACAAGGCTCACCAGGATCCTGCCTCAAATTAACACATTTTTTCAAGTAGGATCATCTTTGTTCCCTCGACTGGCAAAATTAGGTAACAGAATAAAATGACATTTTAAATGAATTGATAATAAAATACGGAAGCGAAACCCCCTGAAGACAGGAGCTTGTCCAGTAGAAGGAGGACGATAGCAGATGGGGGGTCAAGGGTTTCTGTCCTTTGTGAACAGCAGACAGGGGGATTCAAAAAGTCAGTGGGTAATTCAACTTTGATTCATGAACTTCTTGACCCTCCCTCGTATTCATATGAAGCCATTGCTACGTATGGACTTTTTATAATAAAAGCCAAACTTGCTATTTGATTTTGTGGTTAGCTGTTAAATTATAGGCAGCAATTTTGTCCTTGATTTAAAAGCAAATCTCATAGCTAACGGTTGTACATTAACCAACAATCAGATAACTGAGTGGAAACAGACAAATCGCTTGACATGGTCTCACTCGACATTAACTCAAGAAGAAATAATGGAGCTCAACCCCCCAACCCCCGCCCCCCCCCCTTAGAAGTGAAGTGATTGCATCAGTCCCAACAAAAGTCATGGACCAAGACATCACTAGGTTCTAAAGACATATACATTCCATGATGAGCCACAAAGTGAACAGTCTGACCCAACTCGACTATCTCAGGATAGGCCTAGTGATCTGCTGAAAGGTCACAGCCTTGAAACCCAAGTACAATAACCAGAAAAAAAAACTGTGGGTGAGAAGATTCACTGGGGAATTCTACCAGACATTTATAGAGAAAATGTAAGGGAAAACTTGTGATTCTGATAACTGCCAGACAGGGACACCACACGGGAGCGCCACAGACCTGTGTACCTAATGAACGTAAATGTGCCACACACACTGCCACAGCTGAATCCAAAGACAGAATGGAGAAGGCACATGGACCAAGTGAGCTTTAGCTCAGGGGCCATGGAGAGTTAAACATGAGAAAACTAACCAATGCACTACACCACACGAGCAGGGGAGAAGATCCACGTGGTCATCTCAACTGGTGTAGAAAAGGCACGAGACAGAACAACACCCTTTATGATGAGAAGCCACTCGGCTTAGGAACAAGAGAGAAATTCTTCAATATGGTAAAGGGCACTTGGGAAAAATGTATATCTGACATACTTGGGGAAGCACTGGACTGCAACCCACAAGATCAGAGGTTTGAGCCCACCAGCTGCTCTATCCAAAAATGAGTCTCAGAAACCGTATACCGGGTCACTGAGTTAAAACTGACTCGACGGCATGAAACAACCTTCTCAAGGCAATGCTGCTCTCATGACTGCTTTTCAACACTTTCTGGAAGTCCTTGCCAGGGGCATTACTAGTTTAATTATGAAGGGGGTTGGGGGTGCGGGATAAAGGGTTTCCAAACTGGGAAAGAGGAAACAAAGCTACCCCTTCTTGCAGATGACATGATTTCTTGCAGAAAAGCCTCAAAATTGTACAAGATGGCTACTGGAGCTAAAATGAATTCAGCAAAGCGGCAGAGTGTAAAGACAAACTAGGTTTCTTTCTATACAGCAGGAATGAGCAAACTGATGAGGAAATGACACAGTACATTTATAATAGCGCTTAAAAGAATAACTAGTGAATGCGGGGGGCGACCTGGTTGGCCAGCAGTATGGCAAGACCTGGGGACTCTTGGGCGCAGAGTCAGTGATATAGCCACAGAGGACAAGAGTGGAGAGTGAAGCGTCCAGCTGATAAGAAGAGAGGGCATATGCACAAGAACACCCACACTTGCAGATAAAACCCACTTTTCCTGGCTTCAATGACTGGATAATTAGAGCTCAACTAGAAGAAGAAAGAAGAGGAAGAAAAGTGGAATCTGATACAATTTGATGAACTTGACCTACACCTATGGATGCAGTAGTTCAAAAGAGGGAACAAATCATTCCCACCCCCTCCATACAGAGTAGACAGGGATGGGCAACTTGGGACTACCCAAAATGGAGGTAGGGCTACAAAGGCAAGAAGTGACTGGCTTACAAGCTTTCAAGAGGGAACCTAGATCCAGAGGGTGTGGAGGAAGGTAGAATCTCCACTGAGTAGTATCCAGTCTGTCTGGGCGGGGTTAATGAAAGGAGATGCAGCTAGGTCTCTCTTGATACAATCATGAATAACTGTTACCAGAACTGACTGTTAAGGATTGGAACTGTAAAGGTAGGTGTTTTGTAGCAAAAGGAGGGGAGTGATTGACTTTGCAGTCTAGGAGTGGAGGTCCCTCAGACCATCAAAGGAGAAGAGCAGAGAGTGGGACCCTACCCAGAGAAGCAGTGATGCCAGAGATGGAGGCAGAGACAATGACGTGGAGAGATGGAGTGGCTGGGGAATTTAGACCCAGAGAGGGAAGGGGGCTGTGTGCTGATGACCCGGGGGCAGGCTTGCAAGGTATACCCTTTGGTTGGTTGAGGATGCATGGAGGGGACTGTAACCATGGCAATGAAATAATATATAACAGGATGAGTGTAAAACTAATGTTCTCCCATGTAAACTTATCACATAATTCACAATAAAACATTAAAAAAAAAAAAAAGCCCACTCTTGCTCTTCTCCTTTGGAATTCACCTAAGAGAACCTGTCATTGCAAACTCCTTTGTCTCTTTGAAAAGTATGCAAATCTAAGTAAGAGTCCTTTCTCAAAGATCTGACAGCTGCCTTTTCGAAATGTAACTTTAGGTGAGCCTCTTCTACTTTCCCTTTTCCTAGAAGGAGATCATCATAACTTTAGACATACTGCCCTGTACTGAAAAATTAGCAATTTTATCTTAAACACCAGTGTAGCTATAAAGCTAGAAATCAACAAGAAGAAGACCAAAGCAACCAAGTCAAATACATGGAAACTAAAGAACACCCTGATGAAAAGTAACTAGATAAAAGAAGAAATTAAACGTGAATTCACAAAGTTCCTAGAAACCACCGAAAATGAAAACACAATATACCAAAAACTTTGGGAAACGGCGAAAGCAGTCCTGAGAGGACAATTTATTGCAATAAATGTGCACATCCAAAAAAAGAAAGAACCAAAATCAACACATTAATACAGCATCTTCAACAATTAGAAGCAGACCAACAGAGGGAACCTACAGTCACCAAAAGAAAGGAAATAATAAAGAGCAGAAATAAATGAGATGGAAAACCAAAAAACTATACAAAGAATCAATAGGACAAGAAGCTGGTTCTTTGAAAGGATTAATAAAATTGGCAAAACTAACTAAAGAAAAGATGGAGAAGACACAAGTAAATCGCATTAGAAACCACATAGGTGAAGTCACAACAGAACCAAACGAAATCAAAAGGATAATAACAGAATACTCTGAAGAGCTGTACTCCAACAAATTCGAAAACTTAGATGAGATGGATATATTTCTAGAAAAACAATGACCTACCTAAACTTACTCAGAATGAAGTAGAAAACTTGAACAAACCCATAACAAAAGAAATTGACCAGGTCATCAAAAAACTTCCAACCAACAAAAGCCCAGGCCCAGATGGCTTCACCAGTGAGTTCTACCAAACATTCAAAGAACTGTCACCAATTCTACTCAAATTATTCCAGGACATAGAAGAGGATAGAAAACTCCCTAATACTTTCTATGAAGCAAGCATAACCCTCATACCAAAACCAGGGAAGGAAATCACTAAAAGAAAACTATAGACCAATATCCCTCATGAACATAGACACAAAAATTCTCAACAAAATCCTAGCTAACAGAATCCAGCAGCACATCAAAAAAATAATACATCATGACC